TCCTTAATTTTAAAGATTTTTTAAATCAATTTATTGCCCTATCTTATCTAGAAAAAACCAATAATTATTCCCAAAATTATCATTTTTGGTGATTAATTTATTGGACTCTCATATTTATACTAAAATATAGCTAATTTAATTTTTTCATATTTTTAGAAATTTATTTAATATTTTTAAAGCTAAATTGCATATAATTGCAATATTAGCCTCTTTTAGATTTAATTACGTTTATGTCTATACAAATTAGGTCCAATATTTTAATTTGATAATTATGTACTATTAATTATTTTAGTACCTTTAATTTATTTCCAGAAATTATTCTACTATTTTTTATAAAATAAACAAGGGAAGAGTGGCTATTTAAAATATAGCCCAATTGTGTTTCAATTGTAGCCTGAATTGAACCCCAATTTTAAACCCAATTACCTAGCCCAAATCCTAGCCATACCCGACCCACGACCAAATTAGAACAACCCGCCCGGATCCCCTACCTACCCATTCAATCTAGGCAGTTGATCAAAATGATCAACGACCACCACTAACCCTTTCCTAAATTAATTCCCAACTACCCCCAAACCCTAACCATTTCTCACCTACAACCGCCTCTGAACCCCCCTTCTCTCTCAATCGTCTCTCAATCCTCTCTCAAACCCTAGCCGTCGCCTTCAACCACCACCCCAAAACCTCCCAAATCCATGGCTTCCAAGGTTATTGGAGGCCTGTATCTACCTCCTTTGGCTTCTACATGCCCGATTATCATGGTTTCAAGGCTATATCCTGGAAGAAGTTTGGTCCAGACCTTGGTTGATTTCAGTTTTATGGCTGTCTTCGGTCATCTCTGACTTTGCAACGGCCAGCCATGTCTATTCAAGCCTGATTGTTGACTTCTCCTTCTTAGATCGATGATTTTCCAAGCCTTTCTCACCATCTAGGGAGTATAGGCGAGAGTCATAACCGAGGGTTTAGAGGTTGGAGTAGAGATAATGATACCTCGGATGCGATCTAAGTAAGCTGTAATGCGAATCTAGCTAGCGTAGCTTAAGATAGTGCGTCTAGTAAATTATCATAATTACTTGAGAGAGAGTTATGATAGCTGGAGAGTTCATGATCGATAGAGGCAACTAAATCGAAGCTATAAGAAACATACAACTAAGGAATTCAACAACGGGGGAAACCATTACCTTAGACCTTTATTCCAATTGTCTACAACTGCGTGTTAGTTAATCTTCGTTTATTAATTCTGTTAGCTGTAGTAGTGACCATAACACCACTTGTTATTCACAAAGTTTGAGAAGGTTGACTAATAAGAATTTAGTACTTTAATGATACGTTAATTCCTTGTGGGATTCGACATGGGGCATAATACCTCGAATTATATTTGCAACGCCCGCTTAGTCTTTTAATAGACACAGTTGAGCGTGATCATGTATCAAACACCTCGAATCTAGTCACAATTAATTCGATACAGTCAACACGAATTTTAGGAATCAATCCTATATGAAAATACTAATTTTTTCAAAAAAATCCGAAACTCAACTCAAAAATATTAGTCGGGCCCACATCTCGGAACTCGACAAAACAAAATATGAACACCCATTCAACCACGAATCCAACAATACCAAATTTACCAAATTCCGACATCAACTCGACCTTCAAATCCTCAAATCTTATTTTCAAATCCCTAGGCCCAAATTCTCAAATTACACTTCAAAAACACGTAATCTAGTCAGAATATCCAATGATAATTCAATATTATTGACTAAAAATGATCACAAGTGACTTACCTCAAGATTTCCTGTGAAATTTGTCTGAAAAATCGCCCCAAGACATGTTCTTTCGCCCAAAAATATTGAAATGAGCTAAAATAAATAAATAAAACTGCTCAATAAAAACACATTTCCCGTCACTAAAGGTCCGCATCAGAATCTGTTGGCACCAACAATTTAATTTTTCACTAAAAAGGCTCTAACTCCATCATACGAAATCGGAATTCGACGATTCTTGTTTCTATGAGTCACAAATAATAATATGAACCTAGTCGTTCAATCGAAACTCAATTCGAATCTCATTTGCTGAATGTGATACCAATTTCGCTCGTTAAACAATTAATTCATGTTTCGCATTAAAAACTCAATCGTGACTTGATGAGATTACACCAAATATTCCAGATCATTCCTATAATTCATTATCAAACTCCCAGAAGTCTCGAAATCGAATTTCGATCTCTAGAACTAAAAATGAACCTTTGGATCATTACATGCTTATGCTCAAAACACCAAACACTTCCAAAAACTCTTCCAAAACTCATCCGAGCCCCATTAGACCCTAACCAAGTAAACTAACAAGTCCCATAACATGACATGAACTTAGTCGATGTCTAAAATTATATTAAACAACACTAAAATACGAATGCACCCCAATTGAAGCTTAATGAAAACTAACGAATTCCAAATTCCACATAAGATGCCGAAACCTATCAAATCAAGTTCGATTGACCTCAAATTTTGCACACAAGTCATAAATGACATAACGGAATCAAAATTTCCAGAACTGGATTCTGACCCCAATATCAATTAAGTCAATTCCAGATCAAACTTCCAAACCTTCCATTTTCAACTTTCGCCATTTCAAGCCAAAATCAACTACGGACTTTCAAATAAATATCCGGACACACACCTAAGTCCAAAATTACCATACGGAACTATTGAAATCATCAAAACTACATTCCGGAGTGGTTTGCACAAACGTCAAACGTCGATCAACTCTTTTCATTTAAACTTCTAAACAAGGATTATTTTTTCAATTTAATCCCGAATCATCTGAAAATCAAAGCCGACAATTCACACAAGTCATAATACACAGTACAAAGCTTCTCAAGACTTCAAATTGTTGAACGGGATGTAAATGCTCAAAACGATAAGTCGGGTAGTTACATATTAAAAATCGAAAGTTATGAAAATTGAAATTGCATAGGAAGATCTTACGATTTCAGGAGCAAAATTGATAGGTTGATAGGAATTGCTTCTTTCAACAAACCTACCCCAGGTGTCCCATCTATTATTGTCATGATTTGGATACTTATCTGCGTACGAAAGGTCTCCAACAAATAAAAGAGTTTGTCCTTCGATTGGGTTCATTTCATAGTGAGTTAGCATCATGTTTGAGTCGTATGTCTGTCCAGGATCCCATGCACACATTCCCGACTTATATTATATACACAGACAATTTATTTTTTTTGTACATGTAATTTAACTAAATAAAAACAAAAATTAGAACAAATTTCATACATTTACATGAAGAACACAAAAAAAGCTATAAAGGATATAATGATTACCTATGAGACCAAATGTATAGGATACATCGGGGCCTACTAGTGGATGAGTAACAAACCAGAATGTCCGTCTTGAGAGCCCAATTCCAACAATGTAGTAGTATTTGGTGTTATACTATGTTTAATAAATAAATCATAAATTGGTAAATATTGTATAATTAATGAGTTATCTACGCACCTAAGGGTGTGACATGGGTTGAGAACCATGGGGTCTCAAGATTAAATCTTATTTCTTCTTATCTGTTCAAGCCTTGTTTATAAAACTCACGTTCAAGTTTTTGGATAGTGCAATTATGAATAATATAGACAGAAATATATCTATGGTATCCCAGTATCAATATGGTATCCTGCCCACACACATCCCCTCGCCCACCACCTGCTCCTCCCCTTTCCAACCTCAGTCTAATAACTCTCGCCACCCCTTCCTTGCCCATAATAAGGACTCGAGCCCTCGGCCCCGACCCTCGATCCTGACCCCACCCCCTAAAACCCTTGACCAAACTCGAGACTCGACCCCCGACCTCTGACCTCAATCTGACATGACCCTCGCACCTGACCTTGATTCCAATTCTAAACTCGAGTCTAACTCGGGATATGACTTCGACCCGAGATCTGACCCTTTGAACCCAATTCGACCCGGCATGACTCAACTCGACGCTAGACTCGAACATATGTAATGACCTAACTAATTTTTAGCCCTTGATTTAAATCAAGGAGGTTTATTGTCTCATGGCAAAAGATGAAGGACTGGTTTCCCATAACCCTAAAAGTTAAGGGGGTTTAGCGGAATTTACTAGAGAAAGTGCCATGTTATGAAAATATTATATTGTGTATGTCCATTTAATACTATGCTATAAATAATCTTCCTGAAGAAGATTATCCATTTAGTACTATTGAAGTTTATCTACAAGCAGCTGATGCAGACAGGTTGCAAGCAACTCAATGAAATAGCTTGCAACAACTTCTTATTAACAGGCAAGTTGCAAGCAACTCATTACTGAGCTTATTACCGAATTGTCAATTGAATTATATTACATGAAAAACATGATGAGATTGATTATTATTTATTATTTCCGAAAGGGCATTCTTATGATATTTTCTGTTTAATATACTAGTATATTTTTGAATGGTCCCCAATAAAAATAGTTGTGGTTAAGCGTTATTACTCACTGAGCTAGCGACTCAGTCCCTGCTATATATTTTTTTATAGAGATAGCAATTGACTCGGGCGAGGATTTCGTTTATTAGAGAGCACATATTGATAGTTCTTGGTGAGCCCCGTATTTGTTCGCGTGGGCAAGGAGTTCTAATTGATAGTTATGGTCTTTTCTTTGAACTCTTATAGTCGCTCCATAGTCATTCTTTTAGTGTCATGAGTATTCTTTCGTTATTATAGACTTATTTTGAGTATATTACTTTTTTATGGGGATAAATTAATATTATTAGTTGTTAGTGGGTGAACTATTAATAGTAGAGATTTTTTTTGGTTAATTGATAAAGTTATTGTTATTTGAATTAATATTAGGATGTTTGGTTGTTGATTTGATACAGGAAAGTTTTTGGATAATTCAAAAACAGAGGAAATTCTGACCGATTTTCTGTATAATACTGATGAGGCTTACTTGGGACACTTGCTCCTGAGCGCCAATCACGATCCTAAATTGGGTCGTAACATTAACCGACTATATCTCATACAAAAGTAACCACACAGATAACAATACGGTGACATCATCCATCTCCGCTAACAATAGACACATTCCAGAAACCGCTAAAGAGGCTGGAATATTACAAGGATGACATCCAATTTATTTATGTCTTAACACATAGAAGAAAGGAATTTAAACCAATGATCATTTAATAAGATTCATCAACTGGGTGCCAATAGCGATTGAAAAACAAGAAGCTATCAGCTTTTGCAGAAAAACCATCCTGATTACGATGCCAACTGTAATAGGCGTGAGTTCGATTCTTAATCTCCAATATGGCATGTCCAAAACTTGATTCACGATAGGCTGAGTACTTAGGCTGTGGCTCCGTCATTCTGAAAAGTGAAAATTATAACACCCACCATTAACTTTTCAGTTGGTGTATTAACATTTGTTGTAGATTTAATTGAATTTTCAGAATATTAGCAATATTCTTACTTTGTGGTAAGGCCTTCAATATTTCCTCCATCACCGACGGTTATGTAGACAGGTGCCGATGGGTTGCTCGCAGGAGTACATTCCCCACTCACAATTTTGTAGTCAATGTTCGATATACGTTTCTGCCACCACGTTTAAAAAAATGAAGAGGTGGAAAATTTGTCAGTAATAAAGAAGAAAAATGCCTTCTTTTTTTTTAAATCTAGGTTATTAAGAACTTCGTGATAACTAATGAAATTAATCCATTTTGAAGCTACATATTAATTTCTCATCCCTATATGGCACTTATAATTATCAATAGTCAATTTGGTCAATTTTCAGCTATATCAGATTGAATGAACTTATATATGTACATATATTTGAATATCACAAACTATACAAAATTCATTTCAAGTTGCACTTTTTCTGATATTAAAATATTGAAAAATGCTAGGAGTAAAAGGGATTACCGATCGTTCATAGGCGTGAACATGACCTGCAAAAACCATATCTACTTTGTACTTAACAAACCATGGCTCATATATTACTCTCATGGTTTCGCCTTCCATGTAATGATAGCCGTAGCTGTTGTACCATGGGCAATGCATAAGAACAATTAACCATGGAGTTTCCTTTCTATTGACTTTTTTCAGCTCTGCCTCGAGCCAGCGGTACTGAGGAGTATATTTAGCTTGAGATTATAAAAAGTATATATATATTAGCACTCGGTTATAAAAATTTATACGACTAAAAGGTCAGCTCGGTGCACTAAGCTTCTGCTATGTGCGGGGTCCGAGGAAGTGCCGGACCACAAGGGCCTATCGTATGCAGTCTTACCCTGCATTTCTGCAAGAGGCTTTTTTCACGGCTCGAACCCCTGACCTCCTGGTCACATGGCAGCAACTTTTGCTAGTTATACCAAGGCTCCCCTTCCAAAAATTAGACGACTAATTTACCAATAATTCATCGAATTGATTAATTATATTGGTTTCGTTAAATATAATAGTGCATGTGCTTACAAGTTGCAGAGTATGTTGATAAAACGATGATATATGCAGAAGCCCTCTTGATTGAGTACCACAAAGGAGAACTACTTCCTGATGCTTGGTAAGGAACTGGATATCGGTTTGTGTATGGCCTGAATGGTTCTGGTTCACCCTGCAAAAAAAGTAAACATCTTATTACTTTGTACAAATATGAAACATTCGGGCACATACAAATAGAAAAGAATTCAAAATTTTAAGTTTTGTGAGTGTGGTATTATCACTACATTTATTTCTACTTTATAGCAATATCAGTGTGCAAAATGAATATCTTGGTGTATACATTGCTCTCTATTTTATTCCACCACCACCAAAACGGCAAAACTTACTGTTGAGTGGTACCAGTAAGTCTCTCACACAATAAGTAAGTATTAATTCAATTTTCACTATCAAACCAATTGGTGCAGCCGCAACGTACTACACCTTCGTTGTGTCAAGAGTGCTCAGAGAAAAAAATGATATTTTTTTTGGGAAAATAACATTGTATAGCCGCTGTAAAAATAATAATCGAAAAAATATATAAAATTTGTATAATTTTTGTATATATAATATACATTCTGTATGTTATGTACAAAAATTATACAAATTTTATACACTTTTTCGGTTACTAGATGTAAATAATTTCTGGCGCGAGCTAAAAGTGATAATACCCCTATTTTTTTTTAGCTTAACTATTTGGTATCCAAAATTTATTGACCCAATTAATTTGAATTTGCGGTAAATAGGCCCAGTAAAGCGGGTAAAGCGCTCCCCACCGGTGCTCTAATCTCCAGTATAATATATTGGAGTATTTTTCCGGATTTTGAACAGTGTTTTCGTTCAGATTTATCTTTACATGAAAAGTAACTAAATTTCGATTACTTTTGAAACTGTGGTATTTTCGAATGACCACTTATAAATCTAGCTATTTTTGAATTTCTCTCAAAATTTATTGACCCAATTAATTTGAATTTGTACTAGATAGGCCCAGTAAAGCGGGTAAAGCGCTCCCCACCAAAACTATACTATATTTAGTGCTACTATGTTTAATTGAAACTTATGAAAACGGAATTTGCATAGGAAGAACTTACGATTTCAGGAGCAAAATCGACATCGTGATTACCAGCAGTCCAAATCCAAGGTTGATAAGCATTGCTTCTTTCAACAAACCTACCCCAGGTGTCCCATCCATTATTATCATGATTTGGATACTTATCTGCGTAAGAAAGGTCTCCAACAAATAAAACAGTTTGTCCTTGAGTTGGATTCATTTCATAGTGAGTTAACGTCATGTTTGAGTCGTATGTCTGTCCAAGATCCCCTGCATGCATTGCCGACTTATATTATATACACTGACAGTTTAATTTTTTCCACGTGCAATTTAACTAAATAAAAATCGAAAAAATATAGTAATGATTACCTATGAGACCAAATGTATAGGATACATCGGGGCCTACTGGTGGAGGAGTAACAAACCAGAATGTCCGTCTTGAATGCCCAGTTCCAACCATGTAGTAGTATTTGGTGTTATACTTTGTTTAAAAAATAAATCATAAATTAGTAATATCGACATCGGTTGAGAAGCATGAGGTTTCATGCTTAAATCTCATTATTTCTTCTCATCTGTTCAAACCTTAGACGGATACCACGTTTATTAAGAAAAAGTGAGTAATATAATTGAAATATATATAAATATTGATTTTACATAATTTTACACTATAACTTGTTTATAAAACTCACCTTCAAGTTTTGAATGGTACAATGATGAATGTAGCCAGAATTATATGTATGGTATTTGTAGGTAGAAACAGTTCCTTTGGCTATTTGCTTAATCTTGCTATTGAATTCCCAGTATAATACTTTATTTGAGCCAGGTTCATCCATTGTCACCCATGAAACAATCACTCCTTTACCGACGTGATCCCCTTGCGTTAAATGAACCTTCATTTACACATCAATTTAATTAAAAAACATTACAAGAAGCAAAGTATTTCAAACTAAATTTTTTTTAAAAAAAAGACTTTGCTGATGATTAAACTACAAAATTTCTTTATATAAGAAGAAAGAAAGAAAGAAAGAAAGAAAGAAAGAAATGTAGAGTATCTTTAACCAACTCAAACTTGTTTTTCTTCATTTTTTAAGTGTTAATTTCTAACATGGACGAGTCAAGCTGCTTGCTTTATTATTAATCCCTTTTTACTTTCATGCTTTGGACGACGTGAAATCTCCATTGAAACATGTTTACAATGTTTATGTTGGGTGTGCTAACAAAGTCTCACGTTGGTAGCTGAAAAGATTGGGAGTCTATTGTAGGGATCTCTTAATGGTGTAAGGCCTTTTGAAAAAAATCATGCGGGCTTGGTCTAAAGTGGACAATATCACACCATGTTAGGAGTGTCTTTGGGCTAGTTTAGCCCAACAATAGGTATCAGAGCCCAGGTTTGACGGGACGAGTATGGAGATGGCGCAAAGTGATAGTGTGGGGCGGTGCACACACAAGCCATAATACTCTAACAATGTGGGTGGCACACAATAAATCTCGGAAATTACCCGTGGATCGTGGCAATGGTCACATGGAACTTAGTTCGAGGGGAAGACCCGTGAATCATGGCTTAGTTCGAGGGGGAGATTGTTAGGTGTACGAACAAAGTCCCACATTGGTAGCTGAAAAAATTGGGAGCCTGCATATAAGGTGTAGGGATCTCTTAATGGTGTGAGACTTTTTAGAAAAAAACCGTACGGGTTTGGCCCAAAGCAGACAGTATCACACCATGTTAAGAGTGTCTTTGGATTAGTTTAGCCCAACAGTTTAGCACATGCAAAAATAAGGAAAAGCACTTATTAGTTATGTTGCTCGAATTCTCCAAAAATACACCGGCATTGACAAACATTTTTGAGTCCGAGCATATAGCTTATTTGATGGATGCACGTGTAGATAGAAGGAAAAGTCCTAAATTAAATGGGCAGAGAAGTAGAAAAGACCTGTTGAGGCGCATTGTAGCCATGAGGGACGCGAAAGACATCGCTATCAAGAGGCATATCCTCACTGCTTTCTACCTTCCTAACATAACTGCTGGTGATTCCTCCCCTGCATAGCGTTGCTGTGTTTGTGATGAAAAGTAAAATTGCAACAACATAGAACCACGAAATACCCATTAATTTTCTTTTTCCTCAACCTCACAGATAAGGAATATATTGAATTTTAGTACTTTGCTTGAGGGTATGTTACAAACAGGAGCAACTTGATTATATAGATACATCGACCTGCATAAAGTAGGCCGGAGTTAGAAGGCTAGCTACCATTTACGGGTTCGGCCGAACTCAATAACTTTAGTCTAAATTTTATATTTTTATTAAAAAAAATTACTAAATATATATAAAAATCAATTAGAATCCAATTATTAATCAGGTCGATGTCATAAAGTTCAAATCCTCACTCTAACATAGAGGTGCCAACTAAAGTTCAAATCCTCACTCTATCATAGAGGTGCCAACTGTCACATGGGCGAATTTAATCAAATTTGGACATGTTAAAGATGAGTTGAGTCTGTGAATATAACTGCTTGTTCGATTGGTTATAAGTGAATTGGTAATTGAGATAGGTCGAGGAGTGAGTCATAGCTCAACTCATGCAACTCAAAACCATTTTTTTTATTTAAATTTTCTCCTTTCGCTATAAAATTAAATTTGCTTAAAAAGGATTTATTCTGCAATAATATATATTATTTCCTAAACCGATTGTTTGTGTTTTGTTCTATTCTTGTCGAGACACGCTTACAAATTTAATTTGGGCAAATATATAAATCCAATATAACTAAATATATTGGATGAACTTACTTGAATTATACTTTTCTTTAATTCTGGAATGAATATAACACGCTTCGGTTGAGTTTTATACTCCATCCGTTTCACTTTATTTGTCGTAATTTGACTTGACACAAAATTTAATAAAAAGAAAAACTGTGTGGTCTTAAATATTTCATAACATTTGTGTGACTATAAAATTTTAAAAACTTATGACTTTAAACATATCATAGCATTATATGATTATAAAAATTTCTTATTAAGAAAATATTGAAATATGTCATTTTTCTTGAAACGAAGAAAACAACGTCAAATAAAGTGGAATGAAGAAATTTTTTGCAAACCCATAATAATTGTGTATCGGCATATAGATTGTAGAAGAAATAGTACCATTCAATGTTTAAAAGGTGGGGGCGTGAGGCGAGGCACTTTACCTCTAACGAGGCGAGGCGTAAGCCCTAAGACGTGGGGCGTAAGTTCCACGGATCTTTAAATTTTACTAATTTCAAGAATTTTAAGATAGTATAAAACAAAAAATAATTATAAAAATTACATTAAAACCACAAAACTATAACAAATAATCTATTTAAAATATTTGTAAATTATAATTCAACTATGAATTATACGAAAAGTATGACATATATCATAATATGTGAACTAGCTGCAATATCGTTACAACTCAAACATCAAAAGTCATGTATTCGATGCGAAACCTTATATGTATCTCTTAAGGAGTAATGAATCTTGAAAGAATTTCGATATTATAATTGATATTTTTTTAAGATACTCCTTTTATTTAATATGCTTTCTATTTGAAAGAGAATTTATATAAAAACATAATTCACAATTTAAATATGATTTTCTAGCATCATTTATTTTTTAGCTTCAACAAGTTAATAAAGTGACACATAATTCACCATATGATACCATGATAACTAATTATTTGTAAATAGTTACTAGCTAATACTTAACTATTAAATTAATAGGTATTGTATCTCGCGTAAACATGAAAAAAAATATTTAGGAAAATAAATAAAAAAATTTATAGATTATTATATAATAAAGACATAACGAAAGTTAATAAACAAATACATTTTAAAATGAAAGATTTATTTGAAATTACTATCATAGCAGTCTTAGTAGATAATGTGCAAATTTTTTTATTTTAATTATGACATAAAATACTCTCAACTTAAAGATTTATGATTAAGAAAAAAGTAATTTTGAATAATCCACGATTTATTAAGAAAATTTGAGAATTTACAGGGTTAGTCACATACAATTGCATAAAGTTCTTTTAGGCGAGCCCAGTACGCTAGGCATTGGGCGTGTCTGGGACGTAAGCTCTGACGACAGAGGCGTAAATCTCACAAAACTAAGCCACACATATAAGTCCAAAGACATTTTACGGGTGCTCCTCCCCAGGACGAGCTCCAAACGAGTTCCAATTCTGCCTTATAAAATAGAGATGTCATTCCCCACCTTTTGGAATATCGCTGCTGCAGAGACGAGGGAACGGACAATTGGAACAGAGTAAAGAACCTACATATAGTAATTGTGCACAGTTTTCGCATGCGTTTATTTATGACCTCCCAATACCTCCCATTTCAGATAAAAATCGCAGTTAGGAGGGACACAAACTGCTTCAACCACTGAGTTCTCTCTATAAAGACAGATAACTAGATAAGCATTTTCAAAAAAATACAAAAAGAGTTTCATAACAAGCAGTTCAATATTTTTTGGAAAAAAAAAAAACCACTAACTCTTCTGCTAATTTTGCAACGCGTGGTGATAGGTCAATTTTGCAAATCTTTTTAGTGATAATCTTTTCCGTACAAACAAAATTCACCGTTATTTATGTGGTGCATAAACGAGTCCGGAACCTAAATATTATTTTTTTGGACTCAAATTACCTTAACAGGTGTTTAAAAAAATACATTTCTATATATAGCGTGCAAAAACAAGACGCTATACATTAACGGTAACGTCTACCGTTAAGGTATAACGTCTTTTATTCATATGTTATACATATAACGCCCAAAAAAAATGCTATACCCTGAATATGGACCCACCAATAAGTGAACTGACAAACACAATAATTTAAATGTGTATAACGTATATTTAAAGGACGCTATACGGCAAAAAAATTTCATATCTCGGGCTAGCCATTTCCTATATAAAGTGGTTAGGATTTTAGGAAAATTCGTTCACATAAAATTCTAACTCCCGTTCAATTTTTTCTTGTTGTTAAATTCTGAAGCATTTTTTTCGTAATGTCTGAAGAGCGTAGAATAAGAGTTTCATTCTATTGGGGGGTGAGGTTGTGATGAGAATAACTCTGTGAGGTATAGTTTATCTCCACAGGGTCATGTTAAATTACCACTTACAATAGAGTACGATAAATTGATATCATTGTTATGCAAAAAAATAGGTGTGAGGAAACGTTCAGTGATACTTAAAGTAACCGGAAGATATCCGTATTCCGTCACTCTGCAAGTGGCTGCTTTTTACTCGGAGTTAAACATCTACTATGATGAAACTTTGAGGGATTTTCTAAGGACTCCGAATGAATACCGGGAATATCTTGTAATAAATATGTTGGATATGTACGTCAAGGTCGAAGACGTTCCAAACAATGAGGTTGCCGGACAGGTTCCGGATAACCCCCAGTCATCGGGTGGCTATTCTGGAGGAGTTTTTGCCGGACAGGTTCCGGATGAAAGAGTTTTCCTTGATTTAAACTTATCCCCGCCTGCTTTACTTAATTCACAAGACGAGTGGTAAGCTTCAATTTTCCTTTGTGTTACGATGTACATTTTTGTTGTATTGAATTTGTATTAACGCTCATATATTTAACAGGGGGTACATGCCGGATTTGAATTTTACAAATTTTGAACCCAAGCATAGTTTTGGTGTGTTGGATCATGGTGGTCCATCCGGGAGCCATCACCGAAATGAAAATGTCTATCATGGAATTTCATCACATTACGACTTGTAAGTGAAGTGATACGGCTATATGGAAAGTATTTATTAAATTCAGCATCTTATTATTTTGTTGATTGTGCAGTGAAAACGAGCAAGTTGAACCAAATGTACTCACTCAATTGCCCGAAGACGACGTATTAAATCGAGATCTAGCAGATGTATAGAGTGAGGAAGAGAACAGTGATTACGACAACAATGCTGATGAATCTAGAGATGAGACACCCTTTCTTCGTGAGGATAGTGATAAGGAGGATGAGAAGGAAGACCTGATTTGACGAGAGTATGCTCCACCCCCCCCCCTAGACGAAGAATGTACGAGTCCCAAGTGCCATTTCTTTCAAGGGAGATTCCTTACCTTGATAACTTGCCAAGCATACAGGATGTGGAAGCTCTCACAATGGATTTTGATGAAATTCAGACAACAATGTGGGATGAGTCTAGACCAACGGTGCTGGCAAAGGGCATGTTTTTCCTGATAAAGCGTGCCTAAGCAGGGCTTGTAAAATGCACAACATAAAAGAGTGTCGTGAGATGACGGTATGGGAGTCAAGTCCGATTGTATATAAGGTTGTTTGTCGCAGGTGGTTTTGGCCATGTCATTGGATGTTGCGTGCGAGCAAGAAGAAGACAGGTCTGTGGAAAGTGGGTAAATACATTCACACCCACACATGCGAAATGGACACATTCAACGGGAATCACTTCAACTTGGATATTGACTTGATTTCTCTTGTTCTTATTCCACACATCGAAGAGTCCATAAGGTATAAAATCAAAGAGTGCATTACAGCAGTCCACCAGGAACATGGCCATATCATTACTAAAAGAAAGGCATATCTCGTGCGCAAACGAGCGTTTGAAATAGTCTATGGTAATTGAGATAAGTCATTTGCAAATCTGCCTAGGTACATGGCTGCACTGCAGCAGTTTAATCCCGGGTCGGTTGTTGAATGGAAGCTTGAGCGGATTCCAAGTAAACCAGAATATACATTCAATTACGTGTTCTGGGCGTTTAAACCAGCAATTGATGGTTTTTCGCATTGTCGGCCCGTAATATCCATAGACGACACTCATGTCTATGGAAAATACGATATCAAGCTGTTGATAGCCGTGACAGTAGATGCTAATGGACATATATTTCCTCTAGCTTTTGCTATTTGTGCCAATGAAAACCAAGAGACATGGACGCTGTTTTTGAACCACTTGAAAGAGCACGTTGTCAAACAGCGTTCCGGTATTTATCTAATATCTGATCGACACGGTGGTATCTTAAGTTCTGTAGAGAACTTGCCTGCATGGCAAGAACCTTATGCCTAACATCATTATTGTGTTAGGCACCTTAAAGCCAATTTCCAGAAGGCACATCCCAACAAGGATATGCATGATTTGATGTGGATGGAAGCAACAGACCACCAATAACATAAATTCCGGAGGCA